GACAAGGACCGGGGGTTCCTTAAGGCCCTGGGTGGCTGGTCCCTGTCCCCGGAACAGAGATACAGTTCTCTAGCTTGGCACTCAGTCCCACCTGTGTGCCCACGCAGAACACGCTCGAATGCTAACCAGAGGCCCTCGTAGCATTCTGCCTCTGCACCTTTGCATGTCACAGTTTCCCTCTGGAGATGCCATTTCCTCTTCCAATGTGACTCAAGTGCCTGTTGTCCCAGGATGCTTCCCACGCCTCTGCAGCCGAGAGAGGCCTCTCCTTGGACCTGTTCTTTGTGTCACACATGTTCCCCTTTGTCACAAGCTACCTTGTGTCACGAGTTACAGTTCTCCAAAACTGCAAGTCCTCCTCCCTGTGAGCGACTCAAGAGCAGGGGCTCTTTCTCAGGCATTTCGATTATTGTTTTGCTTCTTACTTTCCCCAGAGCCCAGCACAGCCCTCCAAGCCCCTTTGTCTCAGCTTTTGTTAACTAAGAGTCTGCTTAGCAATAATTCCTCTCATCATGGAGGGCTCAGTGTAAACCTCGCCTCCTCTAAGCGCCTTTCCTGACCACCCCATTAATGTCACCTGCCACTGCCCACAGTCACCATGTTCAGCCTCTCCGGAACATTTATCACTACTTGAAGTTATTTCTGTGTTTGTTTATACTCCACTCCCTCACTCTGAACAAGGGAAGGTCCTGGTTTTTCTAGGTCACCCCCCGTGTCCCAAGTGCTGAGAAAAAGGCCCAGGACAGGGCCAGGAGCTCAATCAGTATTTACTGAGTGAATTCACTAGTTGTCCCAACTAGACTTCAGGCTCCCAGAGGGCATGGTTCGGTTACTTTCTGGAGAGAACTAGCACATGGCGATTGTTAAACAACTATTCCCTGCTATTATGTAGGAGAAAAAGCCCTCTACTGAAGGGTCAGGGGATCAGGGTCCAGTTCAACTTGGACTTTGGGTGGTAATATTTCTTCTCTTGGCCTTCCTTCAAGGGGCTTGGATTTCTGGGGCAATCCACACACCTACTTTAGGATTTGATGAACGAGTGGCCAACATGGGCAATACTCAGAGCTGTCCTGGGGTACGAGTCATGGCTTGACAGCAATATGCCACCTACTCCACCCTCCCTTCCCAAACCCGTACAGTGGCAGCCCACCCACCATCACCTGGCTGTCCCTCAAGTCCAACCGTGGAGTCATTATCTTCTGCTGTGCAAATCTACCTTTCTGGTATTCTTCTGAAGACAGTACTGCCCACCCAGGCTCCCAGGCCAGAAACCTGGGTGGTTTTCTTCCTTTCTCCCTCAGCCAATTAGTCAACAAGCCTTGCTGATATTACCTCTTGAGCTGCTTCCCTCCACTGCCCTTTCCCATCACTGTCATCTTCACCTGGACTTCTGCAGAGGCCTCCTTACTGGTCACCCTGCCTCTGCTCTGGCCCCCGCCATCCCCTTTCCACCCACCGCTCAGAGTGAGCCTCCAAACACCAAACCTGCTTAAAACCCCTAGAAGACCCCAGCCCCCTTAGGATGAACTCCAAACAACTTATTATCACCTGTCAGGAACTGCATTATCTGCCCCCAACCCTCTCCGCACTCTGCCTGGTAAACCCTCCCTTTCCAAGCTCTCTGCAGACCTCAGCTTAGAACTTCCTCTTCCAGGGAGTGCCTGGTTGGCTCATTCCATAGAGCATGTGCCTCTTGATCTCAGGGTCGTGAGTTTGAGCCCCACGTTGGGTGTGGGGATTCCTTTATAAAACAAAATCTTAAAAACAAAGTGAAAAAAATCAAACAAACCCTCTTCTTCCAGGAAAATTTTGAGGACTATACCTCCAGTGTAATCCCATCAAGCTTGTGTTTCACTATTCACGGGCCTTTTCTCATTTCTGCTCGGTTCATTCTCTCAAAAAAAGCACAGGTTTTGGTACACAGCAGGTACTCTGCAAACACTTATTGGATGAATGACATCACACTAAGACTCTTAGGTGAAAATCTCCATCACATGCTCTCTATGGACTTGAACAAGTCATTCATTCACTTTTGAGCAATTCCTTTAGCCTCTGCCTCCTCCTCCTCCTCACCTGTAAATGCGGACAGTAATGGTAACTTTTTCCGGTAGAGTTGTTGTGAGGAGTCAAGCACTTAGAACAGCAGTTGCACGTAAATTTGGCTATTTTTAATATTTTCTTGGCACAACTGTTTCCTTGATCTCAACCCACCCCGCTGAGGGGGGCCAAACGTACAGGTGCAAAACAGTCACACCTAGGTCCCCACGCGACACCTTGATGTCCGCTTCGCCTACTGCCCTGGGCGGGCGGCGGGGAGTTCTTGACCCCCGCTGGGGGCCCACCAGGGAAGAGGACGCAGACGCCACGGCCCACTTAAGGATGGAGGGGGCGGGCCCGAGAAGGCTCCGCCTTCGCGCTGAGGTCAGCGCGCACCGCTGCGTGTGACGCTCTGGTTGCCGCAGAGACGCCCCGCCCCCGCGCGGCGCTGCGGAACCGGAGCTCCGGGCGGCGTCGGCAGCGGCGCGGGAGGCGGCAAGGCCGGGGCGGCAGAAGCCGGCGCGGCGACCGCAGCGAGAGCGGCGGGGACGGAGCAGACCACGACGAAGGCGCGCAGGCAGCAGGGCCGGGCCGGGCCACGGGGAGAGCGGCCGCCGGGAAGCGGGCGGGAGGCCGGGCGGGCAGCGGGCAGCCGCCGAGCTGCGGAGCGACATGGTGCTGCTCAAGGAGTAGTGAGTGTCCGGCGCGCCGTGCGGAAGCGGGGAGGAAGGGAAAGTCGGGGATGACGACCAGGGAGCCTGATGGCTTGGCGGAGTGGATGCAGCGACCGGACGGGAATGGGGAGCAATGGATGGGCTCTTGGGCGGCCCAGCAGGGGCTGAGGGGACCGTGAGGGCCGGAAAGGGCCTGAGGAGGGGCCAACGGGGATAGAGAGATACGGACAGCTCCTGAGGTGGGGCCTGAGGGACAGTGAGGGCCAAATAGGCCTGAGAGAAGAGGCCAAAGGGACAATGAGGGCTGGACAGGGCCAGAGATGGGGTCAAGGGGACAGTGAGAGCCAGCAAGGCATGAGGAGGGGCTTGAGGGGATGGAGATGCGTGGTGGCCCTACAGTGGGGGCAGAGGGACGAAGGGGCCCGCCAGAACTACAGGAGTGGCCGCGGGGACTGGCGGGAGAAGGAGGAGTAGGCTTCAGGGGCTGAGGAACAGTTAAGACAGCTTCAGGAATGGAGCTGAGATGGTGGAGAGGAGCGTGAGGGGGACCTGGAGTATGAGGAGTGGCCGCCTTAGGTAGGCATGGGGAGGATTGTAAGGAAGTGCACACAGGGAAAGGTGCAGGGAGTTAGGGCCAGGCTTGGGTGACAGAGGAAGGGTCTAAGAAGATTGCAGAGGGCACTGGTGGCGTGACATGGTGCCTAAGTGGTAGGTGCAGGGAAAGAAGCTTAGGATGTTTGCTTGGGACTTGGGGGACACTTGGGGAAGGCATCCAGAAAATATTGGGGAGGAGCTGGTTTGTGGGAGTTATAGTGCTGGAGAGGGCTGGGATGTTACCAGGGTAGAGGACAGTTTGGAGAGGGAGTAGGTTTGTGAATGTATGTAATAAATAAACGTATTGCAGTAGGGGTTAGGGGGCAGGGGCAGCCTGTCTCTAGGGCAATCTCAGTCTTGGTGCAAAGAGGGAAATTGCTTTGAGAAATTAAGGAGGTTCCCATAAAGCCATTACCTGAGGAAAGACAGTGAAGGGTGAGGGAGTTCTCGACTAGTGACTGGGGTGGAAAACTAGTGACTTCTGGTAGGTGTTGCAGGCAGAAGGCTTGCTCCTGAAATCCAGGGGATTGGATGACAGGTGGGGATGTGTAGATGGCTAAATCTTTCAAACACTAGATGACCCATCACTGAAGCTCATGGTTCCAAGTAAACATTTCAGGACTTCCTCCCTGCCCCCAAAGAGGAGAGATTGAATGCGTGTGTGCAGAATTTACAGTGAAACTGTGCTTCCCTGGAGAAGAGGGTGGGTGGGCAGCATTGGGTCAGAAGCCCAGGAAATCCAGAAGGGGGAGATGTCCCCATAGAGAGCAACTGGTGGAACTCACTTGGTAGCCAGGCAGGTGTGCGGAGGGCTGTTTCCATTCTGTCATTGAAAGCACTTTGCCCCATCCCATATGGCTTGCTCCTTGGAGGTGTTTAGGACATTTAGGACATAGTGTGGCGCTTTGGATAACAAAGGGAGCAGAGACCCAAGCTGTCGTCCCAGCTGGACACCTCATCTGAACAGCATTTTTTGGAGCCCCTCCACCTCTGGTTCTTGACATCCAGTCTGATGTTGATCCAGCCAGAGCTTGGAGCTTGGTATGGTGAGGAGGAAGAACCTTGGGATACCAATGGGAGGAGAGCATGGTGCACTTTGGCTTTTAACCTCGACCGTCCAGAAAACAGGCTTTTCCCATCCCATCCCACTCTCCTGATCTTTTTATCTCTTCCCAAGTGAATTCCAGAGTCTGTAGAAACCTGTAGTTTTGTGAAGAAGGTCAGGCAGGGAAGGGACCTTCAGAAAAGATCTGAGTGAGTTTTGAAGAAAGGGCCTTCCTCCCCAGTCTTTGTTCTTCTACCCTTGAAGCCTATCAGGGAAAGGTCCAAGGTGCCGGGGCTGCAGAGCCTGCCTGGCATCTGCGTTTCCTTCCTGCCTGACTTGTGCCCCGCGTGTGCTCCGGCGAGTGTGTGCGTCCTGGGGCAGGGGCCGAGGAGGGGGGCATCCGAGACACTTGGCCGTGGCTGCAGTGCTGCAGCTCTGGGAAGGGTGGAAGTGAAGGTCACACTGAAGTGAGCACAGCTCCAGTCTCAGCCCAGCACTGCCCCTGTGGCCCTATCCTTTGGAATTGCACCCAATTGCTGCTAAAGTGGTTTTGCTCCTGAGGAGCCAGGGAGAGACGTCCGGGTGTGCGGCTGTCACGTAAGGCAGCCTCAGAGCATCCCGTCAGGAGCTGGGGGAGACTTGGTGCCTACCCAGGGTCTGGCGGTTTCCCTGGTGATTTTTCTGACACTTCCTCTAACAGGATTCTCCTGGATTTGATTTCTGCAAATTCTTGGATGTGATTCTTACTGCTGTTCTTGCAGATAAAAGGCGTATTGTTTTCTAGGAAGTTTCTTCTGAGGGTGCAGAAATTGTGGCCTCCACGTTGGAAGTATTTTTCTGCGCTGTCGGCTTTCTCTAATGGGAGGAAGGGCATTCGCGGCAGCATCCAGTAACCTGCAGGATTTGTGTTATTTGAGTCATTCTGGAGGAGGGGGTTAGCAGGCAGTAAGCACTTGAAGCCCCTTTTGTTTTTCCTGCTCCTTTTCTGCCCCACACCTTGCCTTCAGTGTGATGTTTTTCTCGGACCCCTGTGTGCTTCTTGCTACCTGGGGGACCTTTGTGGATTTGGAAAATAGTGAGCGGACTGTTTAGCAGCCTGGAGCACAGATCCCAGTTGTCAGAAGCACTGCCTAGGAAGGAGAACATAGCAGCTCACGCTTCGCCAAGCGTGCGAGGTGCAGGAGGCTCCAGGGCGTTCCAGCTGGGGTCTGGGCACTGAGAACCTGAGCTCGGGAGCGGGCCTCGTCTGTATGAATACAACCAAGTGTTTTGGTCTCACCTCTCTGACCGCGCGGCTTTCAGCTGGGTCTCGGCTGTTGCTCTGCCACTAGCCCTCGCACCTCTGTGGAATGCTGACGGGCGTGCGACCTGGCTGGGCATGACTTGTTGGTCATGGCTTGTTGGCACCTCCCACAATCAGTGGTCGTTAAGATGGAGAAGAAGTAAAAGGAAACTGTCAATTGGGGTGCCTTTGGACAGCTTCTGGAGTTGAAGATACAAGTCGACTGTCCTCTCTTGGTGACTTTGTGATAGTAGCTTGTATTGCAATATCCAGCCTCAGAGCAGAGTTGGTTGGTGTGTGCTCTTGGGGTGATTAAGCTTTGAAGGAGCTTGGTCCCTTCCTAGCTTCCTACCTTGAGGGCCATCGTCAGGACATTGGGCCCGTAGAGATGAAATCCCCAGGGCCCGAGTCTTCAGGTCTGACTCCTCATCTTGGCTTCAGAGTTTGCCGGGTGGGGGGGGGGGGGGCCCGTTTTTTTGGGGGAGAAATCAGGGGGGGGAAGGGGGAGGAGAAGACAGCTCCAAATGTGAGTCAGAGGC